GATGTTGGTTTTCGGTGAGGAACGTTCTTTTTAGTGTTTAATGCATTCTTCTAATTTTCCCAGGAAGTATTTCCACGGTTGCTGAAACTCAGAGCACAAACGAGAACCCAGCCTATGTAGACGTGTGAAGGGGGACCCCGGCCAAGTGCGGTTTTTGTTCGGACGGCGCCCAATCTCTGATCAATTCCCGAGGTTTTTAAGCTTTAAGCCTGAAGAAGAATTTACGAAGAGGAAGGAGAATTCGGACACGCCTACCTTCTTTTAAACTCACTCGTGTGTTTGTAAAAACGACCTAATTAATTGACATGTGCATGCTTTAACCCTTCCACTGAACCGAGAGGCTTCGCAAACGCGTTTTGCTCGCCCCTTGTTGTTCTGAAGGGGTTAAATGTCTTCTTTTTTTTTTTTTTTAAAGTTACCCTAGGTTAAACCTCACAGTAGTTTAACAAGGTGTGTATATAGACGGGTTTAAAGGGGAACTATCTCTTTTTCTTTTTTCCTGGATAATGTAATTGTAAATTTGATTTTACTCCGCGCAATAAGAATCTATCGTACAACCCAGATGGAGAACGCATTATTCAGACAAGCAGGACCTCCGAACTATCTGACCCGGCTTCTTCGTGGTATCTATTGTGGCATCCACACAGAGAGTGGGGACATTGATTCCTGGAAAAAAAATGTAAGGTGTATGTAATGGCAAAACTTTTTGGATGGAGTGGGGATGGGTTTGAACCTCTTAAAGTCCTCCATTGTTTTAAAAGACCGTCTCATTAATGGAGATGATTTGCTTCGGTGAGGCCGCTGGTACATAACAGAACACCACCCAATGGGAGGAGGAATTTGCTTCGATGAGGCTGCTGATACCGTGTTTCCCCGAAAGTAAGACCTACCCCGAAAGTAAGACCTAGCGCTATCTTCAGGTATTTCTGTAATATAAGACCCACCCTGAAAATAAGACCTAGTTCGGTGGTAGGTCTTATATTGCAGAAATCCGCTAGGTCTTACTTTCGGGGTAGCTGCACATAAACTAAATTTTAAATGTAAAGACCGGCCGCAGCTCCCGCCCCGCCCACACGCCAGCATGCCGCAGCTCCAGCC